ATCCCCATATAAGTAGTTAATAAGCTGCTTAATACAAAGTGTAAACTTAACTTGAGATTAACATTAACGCTTAGAACCTTCCCTCACGATCGCTCCATATATGGGAGAAGTAGGCTCTATCAATTATGTAGTGTAAACTGATATTACCTTGTTGGTCAAGGAGGCTTATTTGATGGGGGAAAATTATCAAATGACTTCTCCCGTTACAGGTGGAGCGTCATTTAAAAATGTAAAAATAGGAACCATAGGATCGGGAACATGGTATAAACAAACTGCCAGTGCTCCTAGGGCCTCCGGGCGTCGAGGATCGAGAGATGATCTCCGGCCACCGTACGAGCGGCGAGTAAGGGTAGCTCGCCGCCCCACCAGAACCAGTCCGAGCATACGGCGTGTAGTTCCGAATGTGCCTTAAAGAACCAATAGACCATCACAGACGGGGCCCTATGGGGCTGATGTTCAACCGGGATTGCTGAGCAAGGGCAATAAGGTCTCAGCCTTAAGCAGGAGTTTTCATTCAGTAAGAGTCTGACACTCTCTTCCGCCTTATCCTGGGCGGGAGAAGTCATTTAATGACGTTGCCCTGCAAAAAATTGTGCCTAGGGCTCTTTAGGGGCCTCTAGTGCAGTTTCAAAGAATCATTTGTATTAGACCCTTGATCTATTCGCTTAACGCCAGTCTACTAAGGAAGGTGTCGAGGAATGGAGATATTTTTTTAAATAATGACTTATTCACGTGAATTAACTGTGAAAAAGGCTCTTCTAGTTTTAAGTCAGTTCTACTAGTTTCACGTCGCACACCCAACAACAGCAGTTGGCTGGCACCGCGACGCGCACACCGTTCGTAAATAAGTAAGTCCCGTTCTTACTTGAGCTTTTTTTCATTTATTTGTGAGTAAGTTATTATTTTCAATTAATATTTTATGACTCACGATAGTTACTATTCAAAATGTAGGGATTAACCACCGCATAGGGCGACACAACAATCTATTATAATGAAACAACGAAACAATGAATTAAAAATAAACAAAATATTACATTTGAATTTGGAATCTGTCATTTTTATATAATTTTTCATTGTGTTTTCTTATTTTGGCGCCAATAAATTGTTCAATATTTTGCGATATTAAAATGGAGTGGGGTGATAAAGAGAACCGAATCGCTGTGATTGCATTACACAAAGTGGGTATGGAGCCAAATGCAATTTTTAAAACTCTCCACACCCTTGGCATTAGTCAAATGTTTGTGTATTGGGCTATTAATAGGTACAATGAGACCTCCTCTGTTTGTGACAGAAAAAGATCTGGCCGTCCACGTAGTGTTCGTACGAAAAAGGTGGTCAAAGCAGTAAGGGAAAGAAATCGAAGAAATCCTGTCCGAAAGCAAAAGTTTTATCTCGGGAGATCAAGATAGCACCAAGAACCATGTCGCGTATTTTAAAAGACGACTTAGGACTTGCAGCCTATAAGAGACGCATTGGACATTTTTTAAATGATAATTTAAAAAAGAATAGGGTGATAAAATCTAAACAACTACTGAAACGGTACGCAAAGGGAGATCACAGACAAATTTTGTTTACGGATGAGATTTTTTTTACAATTGAGCAACATTTTAACAAACAAAATGACCGTATTTATGCTCAAAGATCTAAGGAAGCTTCTCAATTAGTCGACAGAGTGCAACGTGGGCATTATCCGACTTCAGTGATGGTTTGGTGGGGTGTTAGCTATGAAGGAGTGACTGAGCCATACTTTTGCGAAAAAGGTATCAAAACATCGGCACAAGTGTATCAAAATACCATTCTTGAGAAGGTAGTTAAGCCCCTTAACAACACCATGTTCAATAACCAAAAATGGTCCTTCCAGCAAGACTCGGCGCCGGGTCATAAAGCTTGGTCCACGCAGTCTTGTTTGGAAACGAACGTTTCCGACTTCATCAGAGCTGAAGACTGGCCATCATCTAGTCCCGATCTTAATCCGCTGGATTATGATTTATGGTCAGTTATAGAGAGTAGGGCTTGCTCTAAACGTCATGATAATTTGGACTCCCTAAAACAATCCGATACGATTGGCAGTGAAGAATTTTCCCATGGAAAGAGTGCGTGCTTCTATTGATAACTGGCCTCAGCGTTTAAAGGACTGTATTGCAGCCAATGGAGACCACTTCGAATAAGCTGCGTATGTTTTAAATTGTTTTATATTTGTATGTATTAAACTTACATACTGTAAAAGTAATAAATGTTATTTCCAATAGAAATTTTTTTTTTATTTGTTACAGTATTTATGGCTAGACTAGGTATTATATCTATCCTACTAATATTATAGATGTATGGATATATTTCAGTTATTCTTTCACTCAAAGCGTCAAAAATGGTGATAGGAAAAAACACATAAACTGCTTTTTATCAACATATCACGCAGGCACACAACATTATTACTAAGATAGACACGGAGTATTACTAAAATTTATAAACTTAATAGTTTAATATACATACTGTAACTAATGCTGAATGTAGCTTTCTAACAGAAAAAATAGTTTGAAATATTCTTCTGTTATGAATTTATGATGAAGATATTTTAAAAACCCGGAATGACTATTTCCCGAACCGTTAAATCTACTAACTAGGTGTCAAATCTCTTGTCAAGTCATCTGATTGGTTGTTGATAATTCAGTCAACCAATCAGATGACTTGGCAAGAGATTAAAATTATTTTAACATTGATCGGCGTTTCGGAAACCGGGTGTAAGGCTCGATGTTAGACAACCGCATTTAAAGGAACTCACACAATAAATAATAATAAAATTTCGTAAAAAAACGTACAAAAATAATCAGTATTGTACTCACGGGAATCTTACACAGGATGTTTGAGGTTATGCGGTGGCCGTCTATTGTTTGTCGGTTGCATTGTGTGCAGCCAATCGCTCGGACCACTGTTTGAATCTATTGATATCTATTATTTGTATAGTTGCATGCTCTATTACACTGTTAGGTCAAGGTTGGGATACTCAACTTTCTCATTTTCAGACATTTTCCTGTTTTAATATCTAGCTTTTTGATAGTGAAAGCTTTTTACTTATGTTTATCTTCACCATTGAAGTCAAAAATAAGCCTATGGACACGCCCACAACATCGCTTTTTTTCGAAATTAGATGCCCCTTCAAAGTTCTTAAAACTTCATATTTAATTCTTCATAGATGTATTCTGGCTGACTAAAGTTTTTATCTCGTATGCAAAATCAGAAATCACTTAGCGTTATCTAGTATCGATCGATCGATACTTCTTCAGCTTTCACTACATCCATTCACCTGATCACAGCTCCTATAAAATACCACCTCACCTTTACCAAAGACTGTGAAAAATTTAGAACATTATTTAGACATTTCGTGACTCTCATCGACCCGCCATTCATCACATCGCCAGTCAAACAGCAACAAAAGCATTATAAAATCACCTTTCTTTACACTTTACCAACCGAAGTGAAAACATCGCCCCGGAACGAAGAGGTAAAATATCTTCTACATTAAATATATTAAAACTGAGAGAATGGGGAAATAAATCAGCCCCAAGCTGTACATTATACATTTAGGTAAATTATTTTTTTGAATATTGTAATCTTTCCCTTGTTATAATTTCTTTTTGACCTTGAAATATATCTCGTTGCTATGAGATCAACCTGTATAAATATGTATAGAGGAAGGTATGTATTAAAAACCTTTGTATTCGCGTGGATTTATTTGCTCGCTTCCATTTAGGTATTATTATAAGATTTAGTTTCATTTCCACACTAATAAGTTCTTCTAACTTCAGTTGTTACACGGATCAAAGATCGGTATAATGTTAAACGGTCATAAAAATAAGAGCCATTTCAGAATCTACAAAAGTATTTGTTACGTTATAAGAATCCAGTTCACGTTCAACAGTCTCAATATAAGAAGGTGTCAGCCTATTGGCCAAGGCCGGTTTTTAGAACTTGCAATTACTAAAGATTCTAACACTAGATAACTTTTATTTATCTCGAAATAGAGAATCGAGGCAGTTTTGCTCGTGGGAGAAGCATGCTTCGGCATGAATGACCGGAGACTTGGCTGGTGTCTGGTCAACCACTGCCTCACAGAAAATAAGCTTAGATACTTCAAAAAACCACATCGTTGTGTTTTGCCATATGACTGAGGTTACCGAAGACACAATCCCCCAAAAAACATTCTGGTGTTACAGATGCACTAGCTACTTATTTGTTGTCCTATCATAAAAAAATAAAACTTATAAAAAAGGCCAAACAAAAAAGTCTTAATAATAGAAAAATATGATGGAAAATTCAATCACGATATAAATGCGAATAACAAAAAAAAAATGAGTTTTTTATATTGTAAAAGTCAGTGACCCAAACCGATGGAGCTCCTTGGAAAACTCCGTTGTAACAAGGAAAAGTTTTCAGTTTAATCATGGAGGAGGTAATGTTAAAATACTTCCGAATCTTATCGTAAAACACAGGAGTTTCTTAATATTACCTACTGTTTAAATTTATCATCATAGAAACCGAAGCTGATATCCAAAGAAAATGACTAAAAAGTGTTATGTTAAGCGAAACATTTACTTTTCTAACGTACTAATACAAAACTAATTACTTATATATGTCACGTAACTTTAGTAATCATTAAGAGTGTCTAAGTAGGGCTGTAAAAAGACCTTACATGAACTATTTAAATTATTAATAGGGCCAACAATTAATATAGCTACTACTTAATGGTCATTTATAATATACTTAATATTATAAACACAAATACCTCTCAAATCTTTTCCATTCGATTTCTTTCTGAAAGTTTTTATATTAGTTCCGTGTTAAACCATCTTAATATTTCTGAACTGGAAAGCTTAATATAACAATAAAAAACTTCGCACATGAATAAAACATAAGTAAAATAACGTGGGAAATGTTAAATACTCCAGTTAATACAAAACGTTCGTTAAAAAGTATAATCCGTCATTAAAATTTTTAATTTACAGGTCGAGCTCACGGCTCTGGATGGGAGAAAATGCAAACAAAAAACATCAACTTGAGCCAAGAACAAAAAAACAAAGACAATAGTGATATACAGGTAAATAAACAATTATAATCGCCCCTCTCTTTGTAGGAAATGTGAACAATAGCCTGCTATAAAAGCTCCTTTTAATTTTAATTAACCATATCATAATAACTTTCGCTATCATTTTAAAATATTACACATTAAACGTACATTTAGCGACATCTATGTAAACTTCTTCTTACTTAAACATGTCCGTCTAACTTAGCGCCAATCATTCATAAGTACGCGCATATCGTAATAGATGGCGCTGAACTCAAAAACTAAGAACTATATTAATATCTGTTTATTTTTTCACAGAAAATGGGACGCCAAGAACCTCAGGGGCTGTCAATCGATGGGTCAGTGCACGATCAGGCGGTATACTTGAACCATGTCACGGCTCCAGCCATCGGTTCCACGTATTTCGGTCAGTATGCAATATGAAAATTAAATAACTAAGCACACTTCACACGGCGACCAGTTCGTTGAATTTGTCTTTATTAGAACTTCGATTGATTTACATTATTTTATTTTGAAGTGAAATAAATCAAGTAATTGTATTGTAGAGATACTAGGTAACTCTTTCTACTAAGTAAACATCGTTTATACCATTCGCACCGGTCTCAAGAGTAGTTAAGTCGATTCCCAAGCAATGTAAAAATGTCGAGTAAACCTATTAAGTTTTACCGTGTGATATTTTCTTGTAGCTTGAATTTATTTCCGACATTCCCTTGAGTGCGATTACGACCATATTTATTGCAGCAGCTTCTTGTAACCCCGTGTAGAAGTTAACATAGTAAACAACCTAGGAAATCGACCCATACAAATGAATTTGATCTCTATTCTCTAGATTACACAGTTTATTATCACTTCCTACTTTAATCACCCCTACAATATTATTTTTTATTTCATTGAACACAATCCTCGACCACATACTATCATTTGAAACCGTCAAATTTTTTACTAATTTGCTTTCAACAAAAAAACGTGTAAGAAGGATGCACGCAACAGGACTGAAATTTATTCATGTATGAGTGAGACGGCGATATAACAGTGTTGCGTGGTTTTCCATCTGTTCAGGCGCAGCGAAGTCAATATTTGGAAGTTTTAGGGTTTCTTTGTGACAACTAGATCCTTTAGCTTTAAATATCTATCTACTTTTAAGTTCTATTGTAGCATTTAAAAAATTACCTATTCCTATTTGTAGCAACAATTTTTTTGTCTTAAGTCTTAATAATCACACGCACCTTCATAAATATTCAAAAAGTATTATTGTGTTCTTATTCACTTTTTATTTATTATTTATGCACATCACAAATACAGTAAATAGAAAAACAAATGTACATAGGTACTGCATATATATATTCCTATATGGAATCTTTTCCTGCAGTCCTTCGAAAGGAAAAATGTAAGAAACATAAGACTCAGTGTGGCAAAATAAAAATAATAGGAGAAATTACTTTTTAATCACACCGTAAAAATAAAATATATTCTCATTATAAGGAATACTCTGAATAAAAAAAGGCATTACCATCCATAAACCTATCCTTATCCATATTAACACTACAGTCATTCATAAGGCTTCTACCCAACACAGTGTAACACACAGGTTGCGCAGGAGTTGACATTGAGTGTCGAATGCCGACAGACGTTGCCGTGTGTGCGTGATCAGAAAACTTATCTCAGATCGAAATCACAGCCTCAATGAGCATACGTGTGTTCGGAACGGGAAAATAATTTGTTAATATTAAGTTACGACTAAGTTCTAAGTTGGTTGATTAAGTATTAGTGTTTCTTTTTTTACTACAAATCGTTTATTTTTAGAAGATTTGAGTGCTTAGTGAATTAAGAAGTTGTGAATAGTGGAATATTATTAAAATTGTATTTTTGTGTTTATATTTCTGTGTTTACGTTTCTTGAAAATTTGTCAAACTGGATCCTAGAAGACGAGGGATTTTGGGCTCACCCTCAAACTACGAGTACTATGAAAGTAAGTTAAGTTTCAATTAAGTAGGACTTAAGTAATATTTGATGAAATAGTGTATCTTACAAATTCTTTAAAGTTTATTCTTACTTAGGTAATATGGCAACTAGAACTTGTTGGAACGATTGCTCCCTAGATTAATTTTTACTAGCATTAACCTAAGTTACAAAGCAAGCCACATTCATGCGAAGAGATAGTTTTCGAAAAACTCCGACAAATCAAACATAACAACAAGCAGTTTTCTAACCTCAAAACCAAGTAAAGTAAGTAAGCAGTAATGATGTCAGGTGGAACCATCAACCAGAACAAGTTAGTAAACACACTATGCCAACACTCACGTGGGCAACTTAAGTTACGTTAGTACGTAATCTATTTCATAGATGGCGGTGTTCTAGAGATAGATCTCAGTAAGTAAAAGGTTTTAAAAATCAATTTAGTATTACAATTATTGCAAGTAGTATATTTGAAAATTATTAATATAATATGAAGAAACTCTTAACCACACATAATTACGTGTATGTAGGTAAATCAATTAGTTACAAATATTCGTTTCGTTTACATAAGTAGGTAACACAAGGCGTGAGTTAATGTAAATTTGTTACGGGTCGCTTAATTAATTTATTATATTTTAAGTAATCATTATTTACACGCAAGAAGCATGTACTTAAATAATTCCCCTTAAATGTTAAAACGTATTATACATATGTCTACATACGATTATACAGCTAAACAGTTTTTTCTAAAGCTTATAAAATCTAGGACCTGTATAGTATAAGAGCAGCCGAAAAAAAAACACAATATCCTGAAAAACCATTTATAATTCAGAAAATCCGTAGAAAATTAATCATTGGTACAGTTGGCGGATCAGCGTATCGAGCCCCATTGTGTCTTTAAAGTAGTAGAGACTATTAGCTATTCACAGTAAAACACGTGAGTCGTTTTTTCAATAAAAAAAAACCATTTCAGTGTTTTAACTCTAAGCTACTCCATCGAAAAAAATCAAGTTAGCGCTCTTAATTTTAAAGCTAATCTCTTAACCCTGCGTTCATTCTTAATTCAAGTTCTGTGTAAGTAAATTAAGTTGGAATTAAGTGAGTTCGCGTGTGTTTAAGTGAGGTCGAGGATTCTTTGTGGGCGCACGATGCATGCGATGTTGTTCCTTTGTTGTGCTTAAGTAGAGCTCAGGTAACTTTGTTATGTGTGGTCTAAATTACAAATTCAAGCGAATTTCGTTCAGGTTGTAATTTTTTATTTATACTATGTTCACTGATAGCCTACGATTTGTATAATAATCTAGTCTTTTGTATAACTAAAGTCAAGATGTAATTTATTCAATTTTAATACCAGGTTAAAAAATTTGGTAAACTTAGCAGGCTTTTTGCTTCAGACTGAGTCATATTTATTGTAATTTTGGTGTAATTGATCAATCTTTTCGGTCGGAATTTGTAAGCAATGGGCGTCGTCCATGGACAAACTGAAACACAATTGCTAAGTCTAACTGTTGCCGGTCTTTTGGGGATTGAGGGATTTAAGTATTGCGGATGGGAGGGTTTCAGGATTTGGGAATTAAGGTCCTGGTAAACTCACCCAAACGATGATGGTACAATGCAAGCTTTTCACGTCACTTTTCCATAAAACTGTGATATCACTTTGAGCGAGCCAGTCCAATTGTACCGACACATAGCTCTGGGTTATTTTGTTTATTCAATTCACAAAAGAAAATTAATGGCTGACGGAATCTTTGAAATGAACAAAATTACAATATTTTTCGTACTTACTTGCTTACAGCTGACTTAAACCCTTAAAACGCACAAAATTATCAACTAAAAATTTATAGTTTTTTATTGTTAAATGAAGGAAGAAAAAACACTTTCCCTTTTGACTTGGATCACAAATCTAAATATGGTATTTATATCGAAATAGCTCTCATTGAGTCTGGTTGTGGGATCATTTCTTTTTTTACCATCATTACAACGTCCCACAAATGAAGGAAAGTAATGGTGGCTCTTACCTTATAATTTACATAAAAATTAATGGTGAAATAACAATAACTTAGTCGGGTGTAGGCAGACGTGGTAAATACTTTGATTTTCTTGTCAATGTACAGATGAGTGATATTCATTTTTATGGCGTATTCGTGAGGATTTAACTGGTAGTTGATGTTTTAAAAATAATAGTGCTTTTGTTATTTTTTATTTAATTTCATTTAATTTGTATATTACAAAACAAGATTTATCTTTGGTCTAGGTTTAAACTAATGAGTCTGAACTTGAATTTGGAACCTTAATCTTAACTACCATCAATTTAAAAATCAATAACAATGAATAAATCACTCAAATAGGTGCTCTATTACTGAATTTGAAAAACAAAGGCATTGTTATATTCTTGCTAAACGACACTAATGAACACATACGAGGGGTGGCTGATATATAATCTACTTTGTTCAATAAAGTTACAAAAATGATACTGGCCAGTATGAAGCTTTAATACTTATGGATTCCTTATTTGAAAATAATAGCATTCATTTGTTTTAATTGTTTTCATTACGAATAGTCCACTAACATAGTAAACATGTCTGATGAAAATAATAAAATGCTTAAAATTGAGCAGCGTGCCGTGTTAAAGTCCTAAAACAACGAGTGTCCAATGTGTTTGGCGATTCATGTCCTTCCAATTTTGTTATTAATTTTTGGTCTAAACAATTTAGACGTGGCCGTGTGAGTCTGGAAGACGATCCCCGTAGCGGACGGCCGGTTTCTGCAGTCACAGTAGACATGGTGGCTCGAGTGAAAAAAATAATACTCGCAGATCGGAGAGTCAAGCAGTGGGAAATCGCTAGGGATGTCAGGATTAGTAAGGAACGTATTCACGTTATTATTCACGAACATTTAGGGATGATAAAGGTAAGCGCACGATGGGTACCGAGAATGCTGACGCCCTTTGATAAACAACGACGCGTCGAATGTTGTGAGGCATTTTTGGACCTAGTAAAAGACAGAGAAGAAGAAATTATCTCTAGAATAGTAACCTGCGACGAAACCTGGATTCGCCAATGGGACACCGAAAGCAAACAGGAGTCTTTACAGTGGAAATTTAAAGGGGAGAAGCCACCGCGCAAGTTTAAGGTTCGGCCATCAGCAGGCAAGCTTATGGCAACAATTTTTTGGGATATCGAGGGGATTCTTTTGATAGATTACATACCAAAAAATACTACGATGAACGCAACTTACTACGCCAGCTTACTTGACCAACTGCGAGAAGCCATAAAAGAAAAACGAAGAGGCAAACTCGGCAAAGGAGTTTTAATTTTGCACGACAATGCTCCGGTCCACACAGCTTTACATGCAAGGTCAGTCTTAAGCAAGAATTGCTTCACGGAACTAAACCATCCACCCTATAGTCCAGATTTGGCCCCCTGTGACTATTTTCTATTTAGAAATTTG